GAATTGGTTTACTATGAAAAATCGCTCCAAGGTATTCACCCATTTTTGTTCATTTGTTGCTGAGATTAAAATACAATTTAGTGTCTATGTGAAAACTTTGCATATTGATCATGAAAAAGAATACACCTCTGAAATCTTTCGATCATACATGTTTCAGCAAGGTATTCTCCATGAATCTTCTTGTGTTTATACACCTGCCCAAAATGGTGTTGTTGAACGAAAAAAATCGTCACCTTCTTGAAGTATGTCGAGCACAATTATTTCAGATGACCGTTCCAAAAGCATTTTGGGATGATGCAGTCTTTACTGCCTATTTTCTCATCAACTGTATTCCATCTGCAGTTCTTGATGGTGATATTCCATTTTCTGTTTTAATCTGTAATAAACATCTATTCCATGTTGAACCAAAGATATTTGGTTGTAGTTATTTTGTTTGAGATTCTCGACTTCAGATCAGCAAATTAGATCTGAAGTGCCTTAAGTGTGTTTTCCTTGGATATTCTTGCCTTCAGAAAGGTTATAGGTGTTTTTCTCCTACACTCGGTCATTATATTATTTCACGAGATGTTAGTTTTCTAGATAAAGTATCCTTCTTTCTGGTGACTAGCACCCATAATCAAGGATGTAATGATGATTTGTTGGTATACATTATACCTATTAATTCGACTGTAGAGTCTCCCATGCCATCTAACTCTGAGAAACCATCAGAGCCTGTAAGGCCGCCAGTAATTCATGTGTATAGTAGGAAGCGACCACTTACATCAGCTCCCGATCCGATACCATCTTCACCTGTAAGACCAAGTATTGATGATCCTCCTGCTACGAGTGATCCACCATCTTCCGATAAACAAGATCCTGACCTTGATATTCCCATTTTCTTAAGGAAAGGGAAGTGTTCATGTACTTATCCTTATATCATCTTTTGTTTCCTATGGTAAACTATCTTCAACTTCACACGCGATAATCTCTACGCTTGATAATATATCTATTCCTAGAATGGTTGGTGAAGCTTTGAACCATTTTGGATGGAAGGATTCTATGCTTGATGAGATCAATGCTCTCGATCATAATAATATATGGGATAGTAGACTTACATAAGGCAATAGGTTGTAAATGGGTATTCACTGTGAAAGTCAATCCAGACGGATGTGTAGCTCGTCTGAAGCACGGTTTGTTGCAAAAGGATATGCTCAAACTTATGGGATAGACTACTCTGAGACATTTTCTCATGTTGCTAAGGTATCTTCCATCTGATTGTTCATTTCATTAGCTGCTACTTATGATTGATCCCTTCGTCAACTGGATGTGAAGAATGCCTTCTTGCATGGTGATTTACATAAGGAAGTTTATATGGAGCAACCACTTGAGTTTTTTTCTCAAGGGGAGTATGGCAGAGTTGTAAATTATGTAAATCGTTGTATGGTTTAAAGCAATCCCCTCGGACCTTTTTCGGACAGTTTAGTGTTGTGGTGACACAGTTTGGATATGAAAAAGCTTTTATGATCATTATGTGTTCTATGTTTCATTGTCTTCCGGATGCATTTTTTTAGTGGTATATATTGATGACATTGTGAATACTGAAAGTGATGGAATTGGGATCATGAAGCTGAAAGATTTCCTTGCATCTCAGTTTCAAACAAAGGACCTAGGCCCTTTAAAATATTTTTTGGGAATTAAAGTCTCTCGTACTCGAAAAGGGATCTAATGTCTTAGCGGAAATATTGCTCGGATATTTTGAAGGATTACATGATGATTGAAATAGAACCTTGCGAGTCTCTAATGATTCCAAATATGAAATTGAAAGCAGATGAAGGAGATCCACTTAAGAATCTAGAGAAATACAAAAGAATTCTGACGATTACACATCCATGCATTACTTTTTCGGTGAGTGTTGTAAGTCAGTTTATGTCATCTCCACGAACCTATCATTGGGATGCAGTTAGTCATATTCTGAAGTACCTAAAGGTTACTCCTGTTCATGGCATCCTATTCAAAATCACGGTCATCATGTCATCGAAGGGTTCACCAATGCCGACTATAATGGGGATCCTACAAATAGACGGTCTACTACAAGCTATCGTGTGTTTGTCGGAGGGAATCTAGTTTCATGGAAAAGTAAGAAACAGAATATTGTTTCATGGTCAAGTGCATAATTCGGGCTATGGCTCAGACTACATACGAGTTGATATGTGTACGAAATCTGTTGGATGAACTTAGTTTTGCTCAATCAAAACCAATGAACTTGTATTGTGATAATAAGGTGGTTATTCATATTGCAAACAATCTCATTTTTCACGAAAGGACTAAAATTATCGAAGGAGATTGTTATTTCACATGTGAAAAGCTAGAAGATTGGACCATCTCCACTCCCCATGTTCGAACAAGAAGTCAACTAGCTGATGTCTTCACCAAACCTTTACCTGGTTCGCGAATCTCTGTTATTTGTAACAAGTCTGGCATGATTAATATCTATGATCCAAATTGAGGGTGAGTGTTAGATTGTAAATATTTTATATATTAGTTTTAGGCCTAGTTAGCCCATAGGCTTGTAGGGTTTCCTTGGTCTAGGGATCCTGCCTCTATATATAGTCGTCTACAACATCCTTGTAAAATATATAATCAATAAGATATTTTCACCCTCAATCTATTCTTGTTCACATTCATTTTCCGCCATGTCATCTTCGATGAATACAACTGCCCTTTCTCCAAAACACAACTTAGTGATACTCAATACTAGATGACCCACATACTCAAACCTCCTTCACCTTAAAAAAAATGTCGCATTATTGTGTACCCCCATATGGCCTCGCAACCACCACCACATCCCCCTTCTAACCCATATTCCTAAACAACTAGCTACACCAATACATCTTAATCTACCCTATGTTACGATCCCACATCGTCCGAAAGTAAATTAAGTTGGTGGCTTATAAGTCTAGGTGTAGCCTCCTCCTATAAGTTGTCTTTTGGGAGTGAGTTCTACACTTAGGCTTATGGCATGATATAGGTCTAGTATGGGATGAATTCATATCAATTAGTATTAATTGGATCCATCCTCATCTTTCGGGGTTTCAACATTTGGAGTGGTGGCCTACAGAGTGATGGTTTGGTCTTGAAAAGAGGGGTACCAACCGTGACCAACGTAGTTATGACCAACAATGACTCGGAGTGGTGGTCTATGGAGTAGTGGATTGGACGGTGATAACCTTGACCAACAAGGGCATTGGCTCTTCAAAGGATAGGGTGTTGTTACGATTCCACGTCGTCCGGAAGTAAATTAAGTTGATGGCTTATAATTCTAGGTGTCCCTTCCTCCTACAAGATGGTTTTTAGGAGTAAGTTCTATACTTGGGCTTATGGTATAATATGAATTTCATATGTTTCCTGTGGTTATTTAATCATAAATTCCAATTTGATGGTTCTTAAAACGACATAAAGCTCTTCTTGTTGCTAATGGCACCTAATTATCTTTCTCTCGTGAAAATGTTTGATCCATCAACTCGATGTAAAAAAACATTCTTACACTACCATCTTTAGGTTACAATATATATGCACCGACGAGTCGAGTTGAAAGACCAAGCTAATTTGCACTATGTTTTTTCCTTAAAAATCCTTATTTGGACTCAAACATGTGCCAAGATCATGGTACTAAGAACAATTTTTTTTTTGCCATCATTAGCTCTATCCACTCTTTATGTATATATCTTTGGGGAAAATAACATAACTTATCTAATCATGTATGTTGACATAACTTATCGAATCATTAGCTCTATCCATAAGAGATCAACTACAATCTTAACTACGTCCTCAGAACTCTTATGCCTCTCAGTCTCTCACTTATCTTTAAATTAAGATTAGAATTTTTAATGGCCAATCTAGGTCCACTCGACTATTTTCCCAGGATCGTAGTCACCCAACATAATGACAGTCTCTCAATCTCAAAATAAATGCACACAAGACAATATTGAACAAATCTATATGTCTGAGTATAAGTCGTCATAGTTTCATGTCAACTCTAAATCAAAACTAAGTGTCATCGTCTAAAAACCAATTGACAACCCTATGATACATTGAAGTCTCATCGCATTATCATAGGTCATTCAACGCCTCTACATTCGGTTATTGTGTCTTCTTTGTAGACAACCTCGTCTCACGATCCTCAAAAAGACAACCCAATTTGTCGAAATCAAGATCGATGTGGAATATTGAGGAGTTGTTAACATTGTCACTGAAACAAGTTCGCTATGAAATCTTGTATTCGAGCTACATCCTTGGTAGCCGCCTTAAAAGCCTATTCCGATGGCGAGTAGTTATGATGACTCATTTCTAATAAGTGACCCATCGTGAGAGGCGAGAGCCACACTTTTCTATTGTGATAACTAGTTGTGAGACCCGTATGTTATACGGGTTTGGTAAAACAAAAAAAATAATATATATTAAGGTTTAAACAAAAATTTATTTAAATTTGAAATTTTAGATTTGAAATTTAAAATTTAAAATTTGAATTTAAAAGGAAACATATTAAATACAATATATAAGTACTAATATTGTAATTTATTGACTCTTTTTAATTAAGGCAATTATAAATTGATGTGTAAATTTGATTTGTTAATTAAGAAAAGATAAAAAATGAGAAAATGACAAATGGAAAAAACATTTATTCAAAAATACCAAAAAATGGCATGTGTCCAAGTTAATGTAAGAGTGACAAGTGGCAAAAGAAACTTTCATTTTTTAGAGAGGATGTTAGCATAAAATATTTTTCCGTCAACCCAGTATTACAACACAAACATGTTGAAATGGACATTCATTCTATACGAAAGAGAATTGCCAGTAGTCAAGTTAGAGTTCTCCATGTACCATCACGGTAGCAATATGCAAACATCTTCACTAAAGGCCTCTCATACCCAATATATATGATGGGATTTGTATAGTGATAGATCATCAAGAATTATACACTATCAATACTTTTAGATATATGTTTTAAACCAATTGTGCAGATGTTTGTGGAGGAAGTTATGAATTTGATCGAGTTAAATTCTATAAGGAATTCGCTAGTCGGGCTTCCAGGTGTAGATGGTCTCTCGACTGAACAAAGAAAGAGACTCACAATAGCCGTTGAGTTGGTTGCTAATCCTTGTATTATCTTCATGGACGAGCCCACATCAGGGCTCGATGCAAGGGCTGCAGCCATTGTCATGCGAACAGTCAGGAACACGGTTGATACAGGTAGAACAGTTGTCTGCACGATTCACCAACCAAGCATCGACATTTTTGAAGCGTTTGATGAGGTAAATCAACACTACATCTTGTCATTAATTTAACTTTCTATTAATTAATTAAAACTTGCTAAAATTAATTTTGATAAATATGTTGCAGCTTTTGTTGATGAAAAGAGGTGGTCAGGTTATTTACGCTGGACCTCTCGGACACCATTCTGACCTACTAATCGAATACTTCCAAGTGAGTGTATTGTACCCTTTAACATTTGCAACACCTCAAAAAAGCTCCATCTTCTTATCTCTCTTTGCACCTTCATCCTCCTATATATTTTTCAGTCAATTCCAGGGGTTACCGAGATAAAAGATGGTCAAAATCCAGCGACATGGATGCTTGATGTCAGTTCTTCCATGGTTGAAGCTCATCTTGGTATTGATTTTGCAACAATCTATGCTAATTCAGAACTGTATAGGTATGTATTCGATCCAAACCTATATCTTCAACCCTACTTTCTCACATTTCAGATCAGATGATTAAGCCTCAATCTGTTAAACAGGAGGAACCAGGAGCTCATAAAGGAGCTGAGCACACCAGCACCAGGATCCCAAGACCTCCATTTTAAGACAAAGTACTCACAATCGTTTTTCACACAATACAAGGCCTGTTTTTGGAAACAACGTTTGTCCTACTGGAGGCATCCACAATACAATGTTGTTCGGTTCTTGATGACAACCATAATCGGGATTATTTTCGGGATAATCTTCTGGAACAAAGGCCAACAAACGTAAGCAATAAACATCAAGAATTTAAAGTTTTTTTCTTTTTTTGTATATAGATGATGATGGGTTTTAATTAATTTTCTTGACAGGAGTCGGCAACAAGATCTGATGAACATGTTGGGAGCAATGTATGCTGCTGTTATGTTTCTTGGAGGAACCAATACTTCTTCTGTACAAGCTGTGGTATCCATTGAAAGAACCGTTTTCTATCGCGAAAAAGCTGCAGGGATGTATTCGCCACTCCCATATGCATTTGCTCAGGTAATAACAACAATTAGAGTTAAATTTGTTTTGATTGATTTTAAATTTAATGATCTCTTTATAACTTTTCAGGTTGCAATCGAGGTGACTTATGTTTGCATTCAAACGTTCATTTACAGTCTTCTACTTTTCTTGATGATTGGATTCGCATGGTCAGCTAGAAAGTTCTTTTGGTTCTACTTCTTTGTGTGTATGTGCTTCACTTACTTCACATTATACGGGATGATGCTTGTAGCCCTCACTCCAAACTACCACATAGCTGCCATTACCATGTCCTTCTTCCTCAGTTTCTGGAACTTGTTCTCTGGCTTCCTTATCCCTAGAACAGTAAGTCAACACTAACTTATTACAAGTTAAAACCCTAAATTTGTGAAGAAAAATGTGACAAATGAAGGAATATTAATTAATTTGCAGCAAATTCCGATATGGTGGAGGTGGTATTACTGGGGTTCTCCAGTGGCATGGACTCTGTATGGGCTTATTACATCTCAAGTTGGTGAAAATGAGAACCTTGTTGAAGTTCCTGGAGCTGGTTCCATGTCTGTGAAGGTGTTCATCAAGAGTTTCTTGGGATATGATTATGATTTTCTTCCGTATGTTGCAATGGCTCATGTTCTTTGGGTTGTTCTCTTCTTTATTGTCTTTGCTTGTGGAATCAAATTTCTTAATTTTCAAAAACGATAGATATGACACATTTGCAAAATATGTGTACCAGATTTTGTTGGTATTAATAGAGGTTTTTGTATCTTTGTTTTTTTTTTCTTTTATACGTATAGAGTGTACATGTTTGTTTCTTAAATTCAATATACAGAAAAAAGCTAACAAGTCCCAAACAACAATCCCACAAACCGAAATGCCCCAAACATATAACTTATCATGTTTATTTTGGTGAAACATAGAAAAGTTAAGATTAAAACCATTTTATAATACTAGCAGCGTACCCGCGCAATGCAGCGGACAAAGAATAGTTTCATTCCGACGATTGATTAATTTTTCCTAGACGACAAATTGTTTGGTTTCGATCTATTTCGAGCAGTTTTTGGCCGCTCTTTTTTCGTATCAGTCTTTTTTATTTGTCAACGTCCACTTTGTGATCGAGTAGTATGGTACTATGGTTAAATAGGACTTAAAATTAACTACAATATATTATTAGATATAACAACGCTTTACAATATAAAATATGTTTTAATATTAAACGAATTTCATTTCACAAAACAATGAAAGTATTTGCAATAAATCTTTACAATATTATTTTTCTATTTGAAAAATATTTTTTTGACGTTTTAATGGAAACCATTTTCTTTTACGTGATAAACCAACATTTGCATTGGCAAAGTAATTTTACCTTATAGAAAAATACAAACTTATAGACGTACTTCTTCCTCTGTATTTCATGATCTCAAGTGTATTTGAACTTTGTTCATTTAGTGACATGCTTCACTGCCAACTAAAACCTAATTTCACATCCAAAATACAGAAAATAGAAAAACCAAAAGAAGAAAGAGAAAATACAAGGGGGGAGGGGGGGGGGGAGAAGACTTCGGTGGTAGAATATGGCGAAGACGATCATGGATCTTGGTGGTTTAAGGGGGAAACGACAATGGCATATCGTGGTGTTTGAAGGCCGTAAACATGTACTATAAGTGTATGAATATGATAAACTATTAATTTGACCAAACCACTTAATTATAGTCTTATTGGTATTTAACTGTTAACACTTATCTATAATCTAAGTGGTATTTGGCAATTAAAATTTTGCCTTCAATTTTAAATTTTTAATGAAAAAAACTCATTAACCTAATTAATTATAAATAAGAAAGTCAAAATTTGCTTTCTTAAACCACTATGCCACTGTAAAAAAAAATTGGAACCATATATAATGAAGAAATCAAGCAGGTGGCTAAAAAAGAAAGACAAAGTTTAAAGACAAAAATAACCCAACTTAAGAGAAATCTTGCACAATGACACATCTAAACAAACACCTAATAACAACAGTAAGAAGACAACTAATCCTACAATAACATGACAGTGCCTCCAGGCATCTGAAATACAGAAATAAGGAACAAACTTTGATGAGTTAGGTTAACTGAATCAGGAGCTTCTGGTCTACAACAAACGAGTTTTTTAAGGGTAACATCGTCCAAAGCTTCTGGTCTACACCAATGCACCGGTTGGCACAAGAGTTCTTGTCCCTCAAGCAGGGAACTGAGTCGGTGACGGTGATTACGAGGATGTTTCATGAGAGGGCGTTGTTTTGCCCTGAGCACGTGTCGACCGAGCAGGCACGTATGAGCCGATATCTGAGCATACTGAGGAGAGACATTAGCGAGTTCGTGGCGAACTCGACGTACCGGACATTTTCCGAGCTCCAGGCAAATGCTCGGAAGAGGGAGATCGAGTTGGAGACTCAGGCCAGGGAGGAGGCCGAGTCTCAGAGGAGGGACAGGCGACCGACACAGTCGCAGCCGGCAGCCAAGCGGGCGAAGCCCGCTGATTCGAGATCTGGAGGTCCAAAGGGCCGCACTTGTGGGAAGTGCGGCAAGAGCCATGAGGGAGTGTGCAGAGCAGGGGTGTGTTACAAGTGTGGGAAGGAGGGGCATTTCGCGAGGGATTGCACAAAGGGATTTTCGGTTTGCTTTCATTACAACCAGACAGGCCATCGGAAGGCCGAATGCCCGCAGCTGCTTCAGGGATCAGCACAGGGATCTGCACCTGCTGCTAGAGCTACCGAGGTCCGGCCAGCGAAGGCCGAGGCACCGAAGGCTCGCGGGAGAGCCTTCCAGTTGACAGCGGAGGAGGTCCACGCAGCGCCCGATGTCGTGGCCGGTATGTATTCTTCTATTTACTTATTTGAGTTTGAGATTTTGTGCTTATATTGTGGTATGCATAGGTACTTTTCTTGTGAGTTCTGTACCTGCGTTGGTGTTATTTGACTCGAGTGCGAGTCGATCTTTCGTGTCATTAGTATTTAGTCAGCACATCAGTGTTCAGCGAGAGGCGTTAAGTCGACCTCTACGAGTTTCTATTGCCGACGAGCGAGCGGTGTATGCTACTGATGTGATTCGAGGATGTGTACTCGAGATCTTCGGTGTTGAGTTCCCGATTGACCTAGTACCGATTGCGATGGGTGATGTCTGTGTCATCGTGGGCATGGACTGGTTGAGCCGATTCGGAGCTGTTATCGACTGCGAGCGTCAGATGGTGACGATACGAGACCCTAGTGGGGGAGTGCTGACAGTGTATGGCGAGGGTACCCGAATAGGGCCAGCATTTTGTTCGGCTGCCAGAGCGAGACAGAGCCTACAGCAGGGCTGTAGAGGGTTTGTAGCCTATGTGATGGATACGCGAGCGGCCACAGGGAGGCCGAGTTCGGTTGATGATGTTCCATAGTGCGTGAGTTCCCAAATGTTTTTCCCGAGGAGTTGTCGGGTGTGCCTCCCGAGAGGCAGGTGGAGTTCCGCATCGATTTGGTTCCGGGGACAGCGCCTATCGCCAAGGCGCCTTATCGCCTTGCGCCGCCAGAGATGCAAGAGTTATCCTCGCAGCTTCAGGAGCTACTGGGGAAGGGGTTTATTCGACCGAGTAGCTCGCCGTGGGGAGCACCGATCCTTTTTGTCAAGAAAAAGGATGGTTCACACCGGATGTGCATTGATTACCGGGAGTTGAACAAGTTGACGGTCAAGAACCGTTACCCCTTACCGAGGATCGATGATCTGTTCGATCAGTTGCAGGGAGCGTCTTGGTTCTCCAAGATAGATTTGAGGTCTGGATATCATCAGATGAGAGTGCGGGAGGAGGATATCCAGAAGACGGCGTTCAGGACTCGTTACGGGCATTATGAGTTCGTGGTGATGCCTTTTAGGCTCACCAATGCACCGGCAGCGTTCATGGATCTCATGAACAGGGTGTGCAGGCCGATGTTGGATCGATCGGTGATCGTGTTCATTGATGATATTCTGGTGTATTTGAGGACCCGAGAGCAGCACGAGGAGCATTTGAGGGAGATCCTCGGAGTTTTGAGAACGGAGAGGTTGTACGCCAAATTCTCCAAGTGTGATTTCTGGTTGCGAGAGGTCCAGTTCTTGGGGCATCTCGTCAATCAGAAGGGGATATTGGTCGATCCGGCCAAGATTGAGGCGGTGATGAGTTAGGAGGTGCCGAGATCTCCCATCGAGATCAGGAGTTTTCTGGGGTTGGCCGGCTACTATCGGAGATTCATCAAGGATTTCTCCAAGATCGTCGTGCCCCTCACCAGGTTGACCCGGAAGGGCGTTACTTTTTCGTGGGGTCCGGAGCAGCAGACCTCGTTTGAGACTCTTCGCCAGAGGTTGTGCGAAGCCCCGATGTTATCCCTTCCAGAAGGAATGGAGGATTTTGTGGTGTACTGCGACACATCGATATCGGGGTTGGGTGCGGTGCTTATGCAAAGGGGGCATGTGATAGCGTACGCATCGAGGCACCTGAAGCCTCATGAGACGAGGTATCCCACCCATGATCTGGAGCTGGGGGCAGTGGTGTTCGCCCTCAAGATTTGGCGTCATTATCTGTATGGGGTTCGGTGTACCATATACACGGACCACAAGAGTTTGAAGTATCTGATGGATCAGCCCAACCTGAATATACGCCAGAGGAGATTGTTGGATGTGGTAAAGGATTATGATTGTGAGATCCTGTACCACCCCGACAAAGCTAATGTTGTAGCTGATGCTCTAAGCCGTAGGGCAGGGAGTGCCCCGATTCGAGACGTTTGTATGCGATTGACGGTGATGACTCTGGTGTTGGACACCATGCGGGAGGCCCAGGTAGAGGCCGTGATGCCAGAGAATCGCAAAAGGGAGCGGGTAATCGGGCAGGTGTCCGAGTTCGTTACCGATGGCCGAGGGCTGATGACCTTCCAAGGTCGGATTTGGGTGCCGTATTCAGGCGGGACACGTACCATTCTGATGGAGGAGGCGCACAGATCGAGGTTCTTGATCCATCCCGGGGCCACTAAGATGTATTTGGACCTGAAGAAGGACTATTGGTGGCCCTGTATGAAGAGGGATGTTGCGTGGTTCGTTGAGAGGTGCTTGACCTGTCGCCGGGTTAAGGCCGAGCACCAACGTCCGCATGGCAAGTTGCAGCCACTGGAGGTTCCCCAGTGGAAGTGGGAACATATTTCCATGGATTTTATCACCAAATTGCCAAGGACCGCGAGGGGTGTCGATGCAATTTGGGTGATTGTTGACCGGTTGACGAAGAGCACTCACTTATCAGTGAGAGCTCTTCCGCAGAGAGGCTGGCCGAGTTGTATGTGAGAGAGGTGGTATCGCGTCATGGAGTACCGATCTCGATTGTGTCAGATCGAGATGTACGTTTCACTTCCAGGTTCTGGAAGAAGTTCCATGAGGAGTTAGGTACGAGGTTGCATTTCAGTACCGCCTACCACCCACAGACGGACGGGCAGAGTGAGCGGACGATTCAGACACTCGAGGACATGCTTCGAGCATGTGTTATGGACTTCGGTGGAAGTTGGGACACATACCTACCTTTGGCTGAGTTTTCTTACAACAACAGCCACCATTCGAGTATTGGTATGCCTCCCTTTGAGCTTTTGTATGGGAGGAGATGTCGGACCCCCATCTGTTGGGGAGAGGTAGGGCAGCGAGTGATGGGTAGCACTGAGATAGTGCTTAAGACGACTG